AATTTTTCTGTTCACATACTCAACATGAGAATTCCAATTCAATTTGTTGTCAATAAAAAATCCCAGCAATTTAACAGTTTGATAATCTTCAACATGAGCCAAACTAAGCAACAAGCTTTGAGTTTTCTCCCTGTTACATAGCAACTTATTCGAAGAGAACCAATTTTGAGCTGTGTTGAAGACACTACTTATTTGTTCCTCAAGACACATTAAGTTCCTGTGTGAAGATAGTAAGGTTGTGTCATCTGCATATATGACAACCTTAGAGGCAACGTTAGATGGAAGGTCATTAATGAAAACAGTGAATAAAAATGGCCCAAGAACAGAACCTTGCGGAACACCGGTATTGTTGGTTAGTATTGAAGACTGACATCCATTTGCAGAAACATATTGGGTTCGATTGGAAAGATATGATTGCAGCAACTGAAGGGAGCTCTCTGAGATATTATAATATCGAAGTTTGTTTAAAATGATTTTATGATTGACGCAATCAAAAGCCTTGCTTAAATCACAAAGCTTAAGAGAGATTGACTCTTTATTTTCAAAAGACACTAGCACTTCATTAACTAGACTAGAAACGGCAGACGTTGTAGATTTTTTGCCCTAAAACCATGTTGACAATCACTGAGAAGACCATTTAATTCAAAGTGTTTGACAAGTTGAGAATGAATAAGAGATTCAAAGACTTTCGAAAATATTGGTACAATGGATACTGGACGATAATTCTGAGGTAGAGACCTGTCACCTTTTTTGTACACAGGTACTACTTTTGAAATTTTCAATAAATCAGGAAAATACCCATGAACTAAACATTGATTTAAGACAAACGTCAACGGTTCGGAAATATAATTAATCGATGCTTTGAGTAAATAATTAGAAATCCAATAAAAATCCGTACTCCTGGAATTTGAAATTTTAGAAACAGTTTTAATGACCTCCTCCGCTGTTACTGCTGCCCAATGAAACACAGGTGCATTGTGTCGTGATGACTTAACTAGATCTTGTGCCAAGGTGTTAGTATCAGGTATGTTCTTTTGTGTGTCAGAGACTGACTCAACAAAAAAATAATTTAACTGATTTGGATTGAGTGTAATTTTTCTAGTAGATGTGGTGGGTAGAGTTTCTTTAGATATTACCTCCCAAGCAGCCTTACATTTGTTCTTTGAATTTTCAATAAAATCAGAATATGTTTGTCTCTTTACTTTCTTTATCTTAGCTTTTAAAAAAGCTTTACTGTCTTTTAAAAAACAAATAAGAATTATATGCTGCCTCAGTCTGGCCCGATTTGTCCCTTTCCATGCTCCTGTAAACATTGTAATAGCCTAACATTAAATCTTTAGCCTTTTTAAGTTCATCATTAAACCAATTAATTTTCTTTTTAACAACTAATTCCTTATGTTCTACTAAAGGTGAACAATAATGCCAATTATGTACATATCTATTGAAAAAATTTTCAAACAAAGTTTTTACATCTGTTATGTTATTCATATACAACCCAACCATGTCCCAGGTTTCACACTCAAGCAATTGATTGAAAAGTGTGATCTGATTTTCATTTTGCTTGCGCACCAGCTTTGTGACTCAAACTGCAGCACAATTGTTATTCAAATTATTGACCTTAAAATTTAAAACGAGCGGTTCATGATCAGAAAGGCAGTCCTTAATTAACTTTACATCAAACAAAGATTCTGAAAAATTTACGAGAATATTGTCAAGACAAGAGTTTTTTTAGACACGCTATATTCAGTTTTAATGGACTACTCTATTCCCGTACGTAAGACGGGCCAACAGCTCGTTTAGGGGGGGGGGAATCTGAGTGAATTGATGCTTTAAATTATGTAAATACAACTTAAGTTAATATGAAATATTTAATAAATTTGGTAAACATTTACGAGTAGAGATCAAGCGTGATAGGCTAAATGGCTATGCAAAATCACATCTTTTAAGGCAAAAAAATGTTAAGTATGGATGGAGCTTCTTAAATAATATGAGTATTTATTTAAGAACCTTGGTCGAGTTCCCGCAAGGCTCAAAGGACGTTCCATGACTGACGTCATCGTGATGACTGATGGCACGTTTCCCACATTCCAGCTTTCCAAGACTGTTGTAGTAGTCGTCTGCCAAAGTGTTAAATCGCCAAAATTGGTTGTTTTATTTAAAATGTTTTATTATTTCGACTTGACTTGGATAGTGTGTTAAAGCCTACAGTTCTTGCAACGGTATGGTGAAATATATACGATGAATTTTAAAATAAAAATAACGAGCTCTATTTGTAAGCTATAACCTCTGCATCTCCCCTTTTAGGGATACAAGAAGCTCCATCCATACTATATTTGGTAACTTAGCCTTAAAATGATTTTGCATAGCCTATAACGCTTGATCTCTACTCGTAATTTTTTACCAAATTTATTAAAATACTAGCAGAGTACCCGTCCTTTGTACGGGGTTGGAATATAAGTATAAAATGCTTATTGCAGTTATACTCAAGCTGTGCGTTTGCAATAAGGGAGGACACAGTTTGATAAAATATGCTTTATTAAACTTACAGTGATGGTTTTACACATCTACCATCATTGCATATTTACATAATTTAAAGCATTAATTCACTCAGATTTCCTCCCCTTTAAACATTAAGCTAAATGGCCAAATTCCTTTTCCCCTTTTAAACATTAAGCTAAATTCCTTTATACTTCCAACTCAGGTTATGCCTTTCATTAAACAAATGGAATTTAAAACTAAACTTTGTGTTTTGTATTTCAATAACTTGCAATCTGTTAATAACACGTTCAATAGCACTCTTTTTGAGTAAAAATTGGCAACAGCTGGAATATACCTACCAAAAAGTCAATGAAATTAGTTGAATAAAAATATTTTACCCCACACACTATACAGTTTTAACGAGCTTCCCTCACGAGAATTTAGTCCAGAAAACGGCTGTTTGCCGCCAGCTCAAGCAAATGGGGCTTCATTACGTGTTTGTACTACTGTAATAATTAACAAAATACCGTCTACCTTGCAACTTGCAACTTTGAAACTGCCAACTTGCACTTGCGTCATTTGCTTGCGTTCAGTAGCGTAGGGCCTATCCGTATTAAAATTAAAATGGTCTAGGAATGGACTAAAGGACTGGAAAGTTTGAACGTCATGAAATCGTGACGTCGAGCTACGTCATGGAACGTCCTCTAAGCCTTGTGGGAACTCGGTCCGTCCCTTAAGCCTTGCGGGAACCCGACCCAGGGGATTGAGGGGAATTGGGATTTGGGAAGTGAAGTGATTGAGAATGAGAATATGAAGTGAAGTGGAAGTGTACTAGAGATGGGAATTATCGTTCACTTGGTGGAGTCGTTCACTCCGGACTTTTATTTACTACTAGCTGTAACCCGCGGGCTTTGCCCCGTTTAACTTCTTAATTTTCAAGATTATCTCGTTCGCATGACTCAATCACGTCCTGGTTGAAGTTTGTTCGCTACGCTCACTCACCTTTAGGTTGGAGCTCGTTCGCTACGCTCACTCACCTTTAGGTTGGAGCTCGTTCGCTGCGCTCACTTGCCTTCAGGTTAGCTCGTTCGCTACGCTAACTCGCCTACAGGTTGAAGTTCGTTCGCTACGCTCACTCACCTTTTGGTTGCAAATTAGCTGTTGTCATAAATGTAAAAGAAATAATAGTGCTGCACCCTGTTGGTAATCCTTGTAACTTTAATGCTATTGAACATCATAGAACAGAACGGGATCACATCATTTGTCCGAGTTTTCAACTGTCCGAGTTTGTTAAAAATTACAAAATATTTGAAAAATAATTTGTCCGAGTTTTCAACTGTCCGAGTTTTGATAAATAACTAATAATAATTAGATAAATAAACTGTCCGAGTTTTCATTTGTCCGAGTTTTAAAATTATTTAAAAAAATATCAAAATATCATTTGTCCGAGTTTTTAACTGTCCGAGTAGGGGCAACATCAAAATGTGACACTGTGCGCCGAGACTAGCGTGTCTAAAGCGCCTGTTCAGAAGTCGATGTAAACCCCTTCTGTGAAGGAGTCAGGCATTGTGCGAGCCGCGAGAGCCCCTCACGTTGAATTAAGAAAAATTATTTTATTTTTATATAAGACTAAATTTACAATTATTAATTATAAAATTAAACTCTCATCACCTAACACAACCAACCAAACTTGCTGATAATATAAAATACCCCCGCCATTATTATATTATCAGCAAGTTTGGTTGGTTGTGTTTGGTGATGACAGTTTAATTGTATAATTAAAAATTGTAAAATTAGTCTTAAAAAAATAATATAATTTTCTTAAGTCGACGTGAGGGCCTCTCGCGGCTCGCACAATGCCTGACTCCTTCACAGAAGGGGTTCACATCGACTTCTGAACAGGCGCTTTAGACACGCTAGTCTCGGCGCGCAATGTCACATTTTGATGTTGCCCCTACTCGGACAGTTGAAAACTCGGACAAATTATATTTTGATATTTTTTTAAATAATTCAAAAACTCGGACAAATGAAAACTCGGACAGTTGATTTAACGAAATATTATTATTATTTAAACCATACTCGGACAGTTGAAAACTCGGACAAATGATTTTTCAAATATTTTGTAATTTTTAACAAACTCGGACAGTTGAAAACTCGGACAAATGAACCTCACCCAACAGAACCAACTTGTTTAATTGAAACAGCTGTTAAGATTCAATAATTCTCCTCTTTTTTATAATAGTATAGATAGACAACAACCTCTAATTTATTACATAATGTACTATCTTAACCAATGACGGTCTCTTGACTATCTTTAGTTCCGACTTCCGAGAGGAACTAACTCCGATCCAAGAGCCGGAGTTGGACTTGTCGTTCCGGAGTCGGAGTAGTTCTTTCGGTCGGAGTAGTTCGTTCCGGAGTTACTCACCTGTCACCTCTACAAGTCTAGTCTAGTAACCTAAACCTAAACAAAACAAACAACTAAACTAATAGAACGATAGAACAAGACTTATTATTTTCACCTTTTTGTCGCATCAATAAACAGCGATGAACATTTTTTCAGTCGTCAATTTCGTAAAACTGTGACCTTCTCCAGGCTCACTCCTGAGTCCAGGTACCATTTAAACAAACGTATTGATTTTTTTATCCTGAAAATTACCAACATCTAGCCTAAAGTTGTCAATTGTCATTCTAACTAAATTAGCAGTAGAGATTTACGTACTCTAGCCTACGTTAAATTTAAGTTAAACCTTATAATAAAACAAAGGGCTAAGTTATATCAGCAGTTTTATGTGAATACACAGTTAATAAATTTAGGCCTACCAATGTCTACTCTAAAAGTTTTATTTGTTTGGGATGTCTAGGTTTGACCTAAGTAGGCTTAACTTAGGCCTAACTTAGTAAAAATATCCTCGCAAGTATAAGTTAACATATCAACCCTATTTTTAATCCTAGAATTATTATTGACACTGAAATGCCTATCTATTGACAACAGCTAGGCCTAAGTTATCAATCAAATCAATTTGTTTTCAGATAGGCCTAAGTTAGTAAAACATTACATAACTTAAGTTAGGATATGTATAACGAAACACTCTGAAATTAGGTCCCTGAAAAGCAAAGCTTGGGTGCAGGAACCGAGTTCCACCTACAGACTTATGTTATTAACGGTCTATAGCCCTAGATCTCTGTTACAATGAATGCATTGTGACTATAATAGCCTAGGTACGCAGTGTTGAGTTACAGAGTAAGTTAAACCTTCAGTATCCAATAGTCAATGGTTAACTAAGTTATAAGTTAATTAATTAAGTTATAACCAGTTAACTTAATCTGTTGAGTGCCAATATGTTTTTGAAAGTAACTTATGTTTTTAGTCTCAGTACAGTGTACTAACAATGGCAAATATTTACCGTACTTACACTGGGATATTATGTAATTTTATATGTCTACTTACAGTATTTTTCATGCTGAATCCAAAAATGCCATAAGTTTTTGTCGGAGAGATTCCTAAGTAGCCATAGTGGCCGTATAACGAAGATTAAGATTACGAACCTAAGGATAATTGAGCGGTACTGAAGGTAATGGTAACATGGCGTGGCCTGGACGGGTCCGTACTGAGTGAGGAGTGAGGACTGAGTGAGAAGAGCAAACAGCTGTTTATACTTGATCTAAACTTAATGCGGAATGAAATCAAATCAATTAACTTAGTTTTGAAACCAAATAAGCTTAAGGCGTAATCAGTTCTTATTTAGGCATGTGAGGAAGGTAGGTCGGGCTTTATGCGGATTCGTGACTGTATTAAGTGTTTTGAAGTGAGGTTAGATTAGGAAGGTAAAGGTTACCGGTAGGTTATAATGAACCGACTCGTTAATTTATGCAACTTCCAGACTGTTTTTGCACAATTAAATAGTGGGTGAAACACAATGAAATAACGATATCAAAAATGCGCAAGCGAATGTAAACAACTGACAGCTGTTTCCACTCCACAAACCTTCCACCCAGCTATTAGTGTTAGTCGCCACTTGAACTTGGACTCGTCCATACCTCAAATATGTTAATAAATCAACAAAACTGAAGCTTAATATTAATTATTTAACTGTACGGCCACTTAGGAATCCCTCCGACAAAAACTGATTGCATTTTTGGATCCAGCGTGAAAAATACTGTAAGTAGACATATAAAAATTACATAATATCCCAGTGTAAGTACGGTAAATAATTACCCTAACAATCAATTAATTAACTTAACTTATTTAACAGAATGGACTGAATGCTTTGCACCTTGCTTCAAAAGATGGCCACGTCCATGTTGTTACCGAACTGCTTAAGAGAGGGGCCAATGTTGACTCAGCTACCAAGAAGGGAAACACAGCTCTACACATAGCTTCTCTTGGTAAGTGCCAATTTTATAATTTAGGCCTATTTAAAATATGTAACAGACAATCATCATCAAGAGATAAGGTTAACTTAAGTGTCCTCCTTTGATATCCCTCGGTCGTACTCGGTGAACTTAGGTACACAGCTTTCTGACACAAATTTGGTAGGCCCTACTGTACCGGTAAGTTAATTCAACAAGGAAAAATTATTTAAGCTAACTCTCATCATAGGATTTAATTTAAAATAAGTAATTTGCAACAAGGGATTTATACTTGTGGATAAAACAGCCCTGCAATCATGTACAATTTAACAGAGAAATAAGTTATTCATATAGGTCTAAGCCTAAGCATAGACAAGGGATTAAGTTACTCGTTTCCTTGTCTGTAGTCTAAGTCAACTTACTCCGCAAAACAAGTGTAATTTATGGAGCTTTGATATAAACTCTACCCTACATTGTTCTTATATATGGTTACAGCTGGGCAGGAGGAGGTAGTGCGGCTGCTGGTAGAGCATGGGGCCTCAGTCAATGTACAAAGTCAAAATGGCTTCACTCCGCTGTACATGGCTGCCCAGGAGAACCACGACAATGTGGTCAAGTATCTGCTTGCCAACGGTGCCAACCAGAGCCTTGCCACAGAGGTACCGTAGGCCTAAATATTTAACAAACAACAACAATTGAATAATAGTTAACAACTCAGCTCGGCTAGAGATATACAAGAGCTGGCTCACTCCTTTGATGTTAGCGGTCGCCGCCTGATCCTACTTCCCCTCTCCCGCCCCTCATCAGTGACGTAGCGCTGGTACATCGGCGCGGCGTGACGGTAGCCTAGCGTGGCAGTGCATAGCATATGTCACCCGGCATCTATGCGCATATTAATAATTGTGTTTATAAAATGTAGATTTATAGTGTGATTTGTAAAGCGGGTTTCGTTAACCCTTCAACTTGCAATGGGCAAACTCTGTAGTGGCAAGGCATTTTTGGCAATTTTGCAGTCATAGTGAAAATTCATATAGGCTAGGCTTAAACCAACAGACCAAACGTATTTGAACCGTATACTTGAAGTGTTCGTAATGAAATGAAGAATTTGCAAATGGCAACAAAATAAATACCGGTATTTAAAATATTGTAGAAAATATTGACAGTAGGTAGAAAATACAATTTTTCATGTAGCCTAAACTTCAAGATATACTTAAATTGTTTGGAATTTATTTCCCTACATGGAAATGTAAAAAAAATTCAATTACCATTTAGCCTATACAAAGATGGTCCAAAAACAATAAAATGACAAGTTTCACGATTTTGCACTACAAATTTCAAACAAAAGCGAAATAAATGTATTATCAAGAGATAAAGTAAAAGTTTTTAAGTTAACATTTTTAGGCAATAATATTAGAGATCAAATGAAGTAAGAGTTGTATATGTAAAATGATCATTTCAATAAATGTTTATGATTTTTAATAAATGTTTAGGCCTATATTTGTCTAGAAAAACATTTTGTTATTCACACATGTAATTGTATATTATTTTTCAAACACATAAACCCCACATGCCAACTATATAAAATGAAAGTAAACTTATTCCCCTACATGAATATACATAGTTATAAAAGAAAATATAAGCTACATACAAAAATATTTTATAATATTTTCTACAGTAGTTATAGTTTTTTTTTCTCTTTTTCATTTGGCGATCAAATTGTTTGTTCATTATGACGAAATGTTTAAAAAACAGGCTGAATGTAATGTCCCAGACCTCAAATTAAGTAAGTGTATCCACATAAAACAGTTTACAAACTAAATATGTACAAATTTACAACTAATAAATGTGATTAAAGTGATAAAGTCACACCCGCGATATTCGTTGTTGGTAAACAGTTAATGAAGTTCACAAAACCGGCTAAAAATAGTGTCTCCAGCTTCTAAAAGTAATGTCACATTTCAGTCGAGACACAATAAATAATATCGAAACTAAACATTTACAACTTTACAAATTATAATCATGATGTAAACTGATAAAGTAAAATCACACCAAAACTCGACTGCTTAGTTATTGGTTAACAGCAGCGACCACAGAATTAAAATTATAAAAAAAATTAATTCTGTGGTCGCTGGTTAACAGAGATTGAGGTCCGTTAGTCAGGCAACTGTATTTTAATGGATTGAAATATGTATAATAAAATGTAATTGATAAATTGAAATTCTTTTACTTCTAGTAAAAGTTACAAAAAGTTATAAAAATAGTATAATGTATTTTTATACAACCTCAATGTATTTTATATTACCTCAATTAATTCTAAAAGGTATGAATAAATAATAAATAAATACAATTAAAATCCATACATTAAGATTACATTTGAGCAATACGAACACAGATATTACACAGTAACTTAATGCATTGGATCAATCAATAACTACAGTATTCTTAGCCATCGCTTTACAGTCCACTCCCATCCTTAAATATCTACTAAAGTAATTTTTTTATTTATTCAAATTTGATGTTATACGTAATCCTATTTGAAAATCAATTACTTTTATCTATATATATATAATACGCTAAGCCGATTTTTGTAAACAGAACTCCTCCCTCATTTTTGGACCGATTTTAATGATTAAAGTGTCAAAAAAATTGTCCTGATCTGTAGTTTTGCAAAGTGTTTTTAAATTTTTGAAATCTTTATTAGTTTGGGCAGGATAATCCATCAAAGTTAGGTTTTCTCCCATAAGATTAACATGGAGGAATCTAAATATTTAATTGGAAACATTGTGTCCACTAATTCGAGAGAACAGCTGGGAGTAGAAACTTGGTAGAGGTGTCCAAATAAAGGTCTTGGTCTGTAGATGAGTTATCAAAAGAAAAACTAAGTAAATTCCCTTAGGGCTCTGCCCCAGAAGCCTTTGAAGATCCCTCCACAGATTTGTTTACATTTTGGTCATGTGGATAATACTTTTTAATGAAACAGCTGTTACGGTAATTTTTAAATTGTATTTTAAACAATACACATTTATTAGGAGTTACTGAACTGTCCAAAAGAAGTATTTGCAATGTTATTTTCTGTTTTTAATAGCTATTTACTTTACAAGTGTAGTAAGAGCGTTTTTACATCACGCAGGTGAAGGTTGTGCAACGAGCGGAAGCGAGTTGCATAATTTACCTAAGTGATGTATAAACACGCTCTTGCGTAACGTGTAACGTACAAGATTTTACCTGACCCGACAATATACAGGAGGTTGTGAACAATATTAATCATTATCCATTTCACTCATCTTCTAACAGTAACGTTCATTTACAAACAAAAGTTAGGTTAGGAAAATTCTTCAAAACATAGCAATAAAATTCAAGAGCACAGCTGATTTCTAGCGTTGAACGTCGTTGGCTCCATAGAGGTATATTTTTTAAGTTAATCACTCAATGTTATTTAAATGGGTTTCATTACATCACCAAGTGAGTTTTTGATACTTTACATCACTCGAGAAGTAAGGAAGTTGTATACATCACGCTTGGGATAGGGAAGTTTAACATGGCGGGTTAGGTAAAATTAATTTTCTTCTGTATCATGTCATGTTTTTCAATATAACGTTTCATTACGAAATCAGTTAAAAATCCTTTTATCACAGTAACTCTTTCAATTATTTCTTATTGAACTATCTTATATCTATTTTACGGGTTGCTGTCTGCCTTTTTCACCACTTTTGTCTATATTTTATCATATTATATTTGACTATCAATGATATTATTCTAGACAGATCATCATAGGTTCATGAAATTATTGTCATACATGTTTTCAAATGTTGGAAAAATCTTCGATTGTGTAATACAATACACAATAATACAAGTGCAAAAGGACACGTTGCCCATATGAGCCGTGTCCATATTTTGTTAAATTAATAATAGTTTAGAGCAACTGGATAAAACATTTTACAATATTTATGTACAAATATGAATAAGATTTAGAAAGTCATTAAGCTGGAAAACTTCAATTTACTGCAGACTTTTCAGAGAGGTTACTTTGATGTATTCATTCAACACAGAAACCTTGCCGAAAATGGGATACCTATCTTGAATTATTTGCAGTGGCCTATATTACGGACCGTGGCCCACTGGGTTGGTAACAAAATTGGAAATAACTAGGGATGGTCAAGTCTCGAAATTTCGGGAAATTTTCGGGAAATTTTAAATCTCGTTACACGAGACGAGATTTCTTTTTTGCCGAGATTTTTATCAAGACAAGAATTAAAAAAAAAAAAAAAAAAAATTAAAAACGCCTGCAGAAAGTCAATGCAATACCCGCAATACAGGAGCGTGTTGTAGTTGCGTTTCCTTTACGAAGGCGTTCTTATTTAATTAATTCTTTAAATGTAAATATTACTTTAATTATTTTAATAATATTACTTTAATAACATTTGAGAAGTTTTGTTAAATGTAAGCAGTGTGAGGAATGTTTTATTACTATAAAAAGTCAAAACAAGTACCTAACTATTTTATAAAAATTAATATTGCTTTTATTTTATGATGAACTCTATCCTAACTGATATCACTATGTTTCCTAATCGTAGGCATTTTTAATAAGTTAGGCGTGATAATAAAAAAATGTTATGCTGATGTTTTTTAATAAAGGATTGTAAATATTCTTGCCTATTATCATCATTTTTGTATTTAAACAGTCATCTAACAATGTTACAAAATCAGTTAAAAATTTTGAACGTGCATTTCCCGTTGTGTATGAGAAGGGAAATCCCGTCTCGATCTTGTCTCGAAATTTTATGAGAAATAAAAAATCTCGTCTCGTCTTGTCTCGAACTAAAAATCCAATCTCGTCCATCCCAAGAAATAACACAACATTTTGGCTGTAAACAATAGCATAAAGAGTAAGTACTATTTAAGCAAATACTGTCGTGACGTAAAGGTCATATTCCTTTTAATTTAGATCACATCATCCTTTATAAGATACGTTGATTAACAATGCATGTAAACGTCGATATTTACGTAACAGCCAATTTACAGTATTTATTTTTATTTTTGGAAATGTTAAATTGCTATGTTATTTGCATTATTTGTTGCCAATGAAGCTGCGCGACCATTTAAACAAGGAGGTCCCTAAAAGTTCAAGAATAAAAGCCAACTTCACTTCAAGTACATTCCACTGCACCTAACATTCCGTAGAGAGTTTATATTGACAACCTTATGAAAATGATAAGGCTGAGACAGCTAACTGCCATTCCCCATATCACGCAATTCCAGCTTTAACATTAACCCCACAACCAATTTTTTAAAACTATGCTGGAGGGTTATTTTGTTGAACAGAAGTACGATAAGAACTGACGCGTTGTGACGAAGGAAAACTCCCTTTGAAGTTAGAACGTGTCTTCTCAACAAGCAGATATTTTTTCTTAAATAAAATCATAGATTAATCTGTATTACACTGATGAAATCGCGGAAGTGTTTAACTACAAAAGATCCACCAATATGATTTTAATACTATTTAAAGGTTCTTCCAAAAGAAGAGATACCAGTTAACATACTAATAATAACTCCGATGACGTACGGCAAGGGAAATATTTTAATCATTGAATGATCAACCATTTTTGTAACTAAATCAATTAATATCATTATTGTTTTTACATTTATTACTCTTTAAACAATGCTATTCACTCAATTTATCGCAGTTAGATGAATTAGCGTAAACCTTGGAAGTAACCGTCGATTTCGACGGGTTTCACCTAGTAAAATATATTGTTTCTTCATAATATTGCCAAACGGCTAAATCATTTTCCAAAATAAACTTATCACACACTTTTTAAATAAGTTCTATATTTCGGCATAAGCCCCTATTTAAAACTTATTTAAGAACTTATTTAAAAAGTGTGTGATAAGTTTATTTTATAAAATATAGTAATACCTAATAAAAAATGTCTTACATAGTGCTTATTCAACACTAAATGTGAGACAATACCACCGCTCACACATGCAAAGCTATACGGTGCCGGGAGCCCGAGGTACCGCTGTGACGTCACAGCGGCGGAGGGAGGGGAGCCAGCTGGCATCACTTTCTGAGCTCGCGTGGCCTAGCCCTTGTATATCTCTAGCCCTGGCTCAATAGACTGAAGGTGTGTTGAGTAATAATATGTAGGTAGCTTAGGATATTCCAATGAATATAGTAGCCTAAAAACGTGATGTAAGTGTAGTAGGAAGAAACACAGGGTAGACACAATCAAATAATTGGCCCTACACTGACTCCAACCACAGCATACTCAAGTTTTATTTGATAATGTTTCTTACTACTTACTTGTTCTTTGTAGTTTTCCACTGATTGAAAATCATATCAATAGACCTAACAACTATCCAGGTAAGGAATTTAACCCCCTCCCCTCGCTCCTTGACATGGTACAATAAGTGAGATTAGGCCTGTTGTTTCAGCTTAGTACAATATAAGTTAGCCTAATTTTTTTAGCTAAGTTACATGATGAAAATCTGGCCATTTGCCACTCTGTAAAATTTCAATTTCATTGCATGCATTACCAAACTTATATTTTACGAGAAAGTGTGAAGTGGCAGTGACATGTCTTGTATGGTGTGTAATGTATAGGATGGCTTTACTCCGCTGGCTGTCGCAATGCAGCAGGGCCATGACAAGGTGGTGGCCGTTCTGCTGGAGAACGACACCAGAGGTAAGGTGCGACTGCCTGCTCTACACATTGCTGCCAAGAAGGATGACTGCAAAGCTGCTGCCTTACTCTTACAGGTCAGTCTTCATCACCGTAATGACAGATAATTTTGATATATTCATATTAGAACCTAGTTTAACAATCAAATCATGATAATAAAATTAAAGGGCCCTAAGTACAACGGTTGTCCATATAATTAAGGTCATATTAAACTCCTGGTTGCAACCCAGCGAGCTAACTCAAATGTGACTGTTACAAAATGTTCCTTTAAAGTTGTCTTTCTTTATACTGGCTTACCGGTAGTACATTTAATCAAGACACATGTTATAATTCAAGTTTTTACACTGACACAAGCTTTATGTTCTTTAATTCTTACTTACTTACTTACTTACATACTCCCTCAACGTCGATGACCAGCTCTTGCTGGATAGACTGAGTCGAAAATAAAAGCAATATTTATACTGTATACATATTTACAAGTTTTGGCGGCAGGTTGGACGCAAATTTTATAAAACTCATCTAGGGAGTACAAGGGCCTTGCCAGTAGCCACTCCCTCTGTACGTTTTTGAAAACTGAGGCCTCAAGGTTTTTAAAGTACCTCTATATTCTTCTACTAGGCCTACTCTTACAGTTATCACTCCAATGCAATAATTAGTGAAGCTTGGCTGTAGTGGCCAAAAACAACGTGGAGAAAAATCAGTGCTTGCTGTGTAGGCCTATAAATCGTGTTCTGTGATTGAATTTACGTAATCTAAAGGTGTTAACCACTATTGAGGTGCATCACCAGTTGACAGACGTGAATATAATGTCAAGTACAGTAGACTCTCAGTAATCCGGCAGATATAGGACTGGGTACTGCCAGATTAGTGAAAATGCCGGATTACTGGAATGTTATTAATAAAAACACTTAAAATGCAATTAAAACACGTCTCCGAAATCGTGCGAACGAAAACCGCGCTTGCTGCGATCGGGCATGACGACGATGTCATTTCCGTGCCCGCTGAAGGCAATGATAACGTCTACGTCCGTGGTAGATGTTGATGATTTCGCCGCGATCGCGCATGACAATAATGACTTTTCTGTGACCGCGAGAGATGTTCATGAATTTGCCGTGATCGCGCAAGACGACAATGACGTTTTCGTGACCGCAGGAGTGGATGATGTTGTCTACACGTCCGCGCTAGATGTTGGTGATTTTGCCGCGATCACGGAAGACCTCACCCGTCAACAGATGCCGGATTACTGGAGTGCCGGAGTGGTGCAGTGCCGGATTAGAGAGGGTCTACTGTATTTGGGCTCAGAAAATGCGATTTAAGGGTGGAGGGAGTTCAAAGTTCACTGTGTAGGCCAGCTGTGGTCGTTCTACAGTCCTATAAGGTAAAGAAAGGCCAGAGTAATGACAATTTTACACACGGATCACGGTTTGACCGAATGAGGTGTTGTTAACTACACCTCTAAGACTAAGAGGAAACGTTTCTAAGACTACCAAGAACAATGGAAAGCACTTATAGCCTCTTAATACATGGATCATTTGGTCTAAACACAATTCTATTCTGTGTATACAACATTCAATTGATGGTTTGATCCCCTCCCCATAAAATCCTAACAACAACAGTTAATCAAATAATCAAAAAATTAAAAAAAAAACAGCTAGAATAGTAGCAAAAGAAGTAAAGAATTCGACACTAGTGTGAGATTTGAGATATCTCGCTCGATTGTGACATTGATGAAGAAAGCTTAATTTACAGACAACCCTCATATATTTGTTCTAAATCATGAAGACTACCAATCTTAGTGAATTACCCATTTATGAATTATGTAGACATGCCACCACAAAACAAACAATGAATCAGGACCATTCCCACTCTGTATCTAAATTCATCTGATCTTACTTTTTCATTTGAGCTAGCATGCTTATATTACATAGGTTTTGCTCCCAAACTGATCTTCATGCAATGTTGCTTTTATGATTAATTATTGCTGTCTCTTATTAACTCTGTTTGCTTGGTGAATTGTATTAGACCGCCTCATTTTTAAAAACTGATTAAGCTTTATTAAAATGCATCACATTTCAGAATGAACACAACCCAGATGTAACGTCCAAGAGTGGATTCACTCCCCTTCACATTGCCTCCCACTACGGGAATGAAGGCATTGCCAACCTCCTTCTCAACAAAGGTGCCGATGTTAACTACGCCGCTAAAGTGAGTAGCATATTCTGAGTTATTTTCACAAGTCCAAACATACTTGTAATTTTTAGCGAATTTCCCTATAGGGACCGTAGGTATTACCGTAGGTCTCATGGTAAGACTTGAGCCCGGGACCAACTTACTTTTTATTTTGATGTCCCCAGAGGCCAAAAACACTATTCGTTCAAATTTTTATATACTGTATGTGAACACGGTAACTTGAGTAATTCTTGTTCGATTATGATGAAATTTGGTTTGAAGGTGTAGGCCTAAGGCGGGAAAACTTGAATGAGTTCGTGAACGAGCATGATCGGACGGTGGGAACGGTGTTTTATGGGGTAAAAATTGGGTTTTCTCATTATTGAACATCAAAACACAAAATTTTCCAATTTCTCTCTAGACCATTTAAAGAGCTTAAAAAGACAAATAATTTATATTATGGTATTTTATATTTATGGAGCAACCATAAATCCTTGGCCCACCAGTTTTTAAAATCCTGCTATTTAACTCAGATGTAATACTGTAGCTATCTGTGATAGTATTGGTTCTAGACCTTTGAATGCACTCTGGTTCTTTCCAGTCTCTTTGTGAACACCTTTAACCCCACTTAACCTCTTGTTTTTTTGGCTTACACTTAACCCTAGGGCTTTTTATATCAGAGGTGATAAGCTTGCCAGTCAGGTCCCATTGCCATTTCATTCTTGGTGTAGGCTCTCATCCCCAATTGCTAGCTTCCAAATTCATTCTCTTTCTACTTTTGAATTTGCCTCACATAGGACAGTTTTCAAATCAAAAATTGGTTACCTTCCCACTAGTTTATCTAGAAGGTAATAAACTGGTCTTTGTCCTCCCTCATCCTCTGAGTCTTATGTAGGTGTTAAATACTAATTAGTGATATATTATAAATCCTTTCTCTTAACCTAATATTGCGCATACTTTTATTTATTGCTTCAAAATGTATCACAGATTCAGCTAGTTTCTTATTTATTGCCAAGCCTAGGCTACCCCACCATAGTACCTATTATCATCACATCCACTATAATTAATTGTCTAGACAGTTATTTATATTTATTCTTCCTGCAAGAGGCTATAGGTCTCCTAAAGTGTAACCACAACCAAATTGTACTTATTCAGTTTATCTGTTATACCAACCGGAAGAACCGGGAAAAAACCTAAAATTTGAAGGGACCTGGAAAAACCTGGGATTTTTAGAGCGAATCTGTTATTTTATTTTAGCCCTGGTAGAAGATTGCAATTGTAAAACGTGTCTGCGAAATTCGCTCTATAAAAAAATTCACACATTTGCCCCGATTGTGGAAGACTGTGATGACATTTCCATCCAGGATTTTGCCGAAATCGTGGAAGACTGTGATGACGTTTCCGTGACCGCGGGAGATGACGTTTATGTCTGCAAAAAGCGGAAGATGCCCCGAATTTTGCCGGAGTTTTGTTGACGTGGGAAACATTCTTGTAGGAACCAAGAAAAACCTGGAATTTCACTTTTATAATAGTACTAGTTTTTTACACCCTGTATGCATATCACTTGCTTCTTGCTAAAGTTCTTACATTCCACCCACCAAATTAAAGTTGTTTTGGCCAAATCCGGGTCTTCAACGGCTTAGCCTGTCCAGTTTCCGAGCCTAACTTTGTTGGAGACTTTTCACTGCTACCTTTATATCACCCTCTCCTTTCTAAAAGCTGTACACCATTTCACATTTCACACCATTTCACATAAGTTTAGATTTAGGGATTTGAACCTCATGTTGAGTCATGACATTTTTAGCTTATTATTGTTTTGTTATTGTATTGACAAATTAAAAAATATGTTTCACATTTAATAGTAGATGTCACACTTTTCTGTAGGTCAGTGATAATTTGTGTTGGATGTGACCCAGCAGAAAATCTGTTTTTTGTGTGAAATTAATTTGCATTGTTATCTAACCTTTTTAGCTGGTAGTATAAGATACTTCAATATTATACTAGAGGTTGGTTAGTTTTAATGTTTTTGGATGTTTGTAGCACAACATCACCCCACTGCACGTTGCCGCCAAGTGGGGTAAGAGCAATATGGTGTCCTTGCTGCTGGAGAAGGGAGCTAACATTGAGTCCAAGACCCGTGATGGACTGACGCCCCTGCACTGTGCTGCCAGGTCGGGACATGAGCAGGTCGTTGACATGCTACTGGAGCGGGGCGCTCCCATCAGCTCCAAGACCAAGGTAAGCCCTACTGCTATATAGTCAGTTCTCTGCTCCACTATGAGCCAATCTCGACCAAAATATTCTCTCTTATTTATAATAGAAGTAGCAGTTTAATCTTTAGTCTTAATATTTAAAGATAAAAGTGGTTTTCAAATATATTGCTATTTAGTTAGGTAAAATTGTTTTAAAAGCTAGTTAAAGAACAAGAATCAAATAACAACCTGTCTTCTGCATGAACTCTCTGCATGAATGGAGAATAACAACTCTGTAAGGAAGTATGGTTATTATAAGCCATTAGTTAATAATCGTGTTTGTTGCAGAACGGCCTGGCCCCTCTACATATGGCCTCTCAAGGTGACCATGTGGATGCTGCCAGGATCCTGCTTTACCACAGAGCACCTGTGGACGAGGTGAGATCAAACAACACTCCTCACTCCTTCCCTTAAACAGTTTAACTGTAGTCGTCACATTGATTTTGTCATATGGAGAAAACGGTTAGCTGTTGGTATGAATCGTGATAAATTGTGCCGTTTAATATTAGGATGGGTTTACAACATTTCTGTTAGTTTAATAATCAATGTAACAAAAAGAAACATACTCGGTAGTTAGAGGTTGATTAAGGGTAGCTGGGTGAAACAACCTCACTGAAGAAAGAAAGTGCAGTGGACTGAAAACAATAACCATATTACAATAGCATACAATTGTCTACAATTGTCTGCAATTGCCCCCCCCCCCCCACTGGTCAACTAAAAACATATAAACTAAAATATGTTAAATTGGTGGGCAGGTGACAGTTGACTACCTGACAGCGCTACATGTGGCAGCTCATTGCGGACACGCCAGAGTAGCCAAGCTGTTACTAGACCGCAAGGCTGATCCCAACGCAAGAGCTCTCAACGGCTTCACTCCACTGCACATTGCCTGCAAGAAGAACAGGATAAAAGTAGTGGAGCTGTTGCTGAAACATGGCGCATCTATAGAGGCTACCACCGAGGTACACTGAATCATAAGTTCAGCTGTTTACAACAGCTGTTTGATCAGTAGTAAAGTACATTATCACAGTAGTGTCTTTTGTCTTATACAAAAACAAAATTAAAAATTATCAACAAATTGTAATATTAATCATAAATTGAAGTGAATCATTGAACTCTTAAGGAGTTTTTAGAAAGGTGTGAAGAAACTATTTATTAAATCAAAATCAACATTTTAGGAACAGTATTTTATCTAGTAATCTATATATTAATTTGAAACTGGTTTTCTTTGTCACAGCTAATTTGAGAGAACGGCTGGGTGTAGAAACTAGGTAGGGGTCTCTAAAGAAAGGTCTTGGTCTGTAGATGAGCCATCAAAAGAGAAACGTGGTAAATTCCCTTGGGGCTCTGCCCCAGTGGCCTTTAAATTCCCATCCCATGATATTCTTATGGAGGAAAAACGGGGTTTTGTCACAGCTAATTACAGAGAACGGCTGGGCGTAGAAACTTGGTAGGGGTCTCTAAAGAAAGGTCTTAGTCTGTAGATGAGCCATCAAAAGAGAAACAAGGTAAATTCCCTTGGGGCTCTGCCCCAGAGGCCTTTAAAGTTCCCTCTTCAGATTTGTTTACATTACAACCATATGCATACATTTGCATTACTTTTGATTGAAACAGCTGTTAATATTTAAATTGTGATTTACTAAATTTGCAATGGTTTTTTTTCTGATTTTAAAATTGATTTTCTTCTGAATCGTGCCATGTTTTGCAATATAATATTCTATTACCAAATCAGTGTAAAATCCTAATATCAAAGTAACTCTTAAAATTATTTCTTATGGAGTTAACTTATATCTATTGTATGGGTTGGTTTCTGCCTTTTTTACCAATTCTTGGAGATTGCACGTAGACAATATTCTTTGGCGTATTGAATCTGTAGTAGACGATACTTGGTTGGTGTAATTTTTAAAATTACAATGGATAAAGTGAGAAATACTGGACAAAAGAGCCAATTTGCAAACAATGGAAACATAGGAAAGTCATAGAACACAACCAAGTACAGTAGAAGAAATATAAATAATGTTTTTTTTTTTATTTATAGAATCGTTATTATTAGGGATGGACGGGTCCCGAAATTTCGGGAATTTTTCGGGAAAAAAATATTCCCGATTATCGGGACGGGATTACATTTGACTCGGGAATTTTTCGGGATGGGATTTGGTCCGATCGTCGGCGATTTTTCCGCTTTGCGAGTGCCGATAACGCCGTTATTGCAAGCGATAGGTCCGCGAACGCAGGAGACGAAGTCATTTCGACGATTACGCCGTGACCGCGGAGTCATAACGACGATCGCGCTGTGACCGCGAAGTCCTACCGACGATCGCGCTGTGACCACGAGTCATACCGACGATCACGCCGTGACCGCGGAGTCATAACGACGATCGCGCCGTGACCGCGAAGTCCTACCGACGATCGCGCTGTGACCACGAGTCATACCGACGATCACGCCGTGACCGCGGAGTCATAACGACGATCGCGCCGTGACCGCGAAGTCCTACCGACGATCGCGCTGTGACCACGAGTCATACCGACGATCACGCCGTGACCGCGGAGTCATAACGACGATCGCGCCGTGACCGCGAAGTCCTACCGACGATCGCGCTGTGACCACGAGTCATACCGACGATCACGCCGTGACCGCGGAGTCATAACGACGATCGCGCCGTGACCGCGAAGTCCTACCGACGATCGCGCTGTGACCACGAGTCATACCGACGATCACGCCGTGACCGCGGAGTCATAACGACGATCGCGCCGTGACCGCGAAGTCCTACCGACGATCGCGCTGTGACCACGAGTCATACCGACGATCACGCCGTGACCGCGGAGTCATAACGACGATCGCGCCGTGACCGCGAAGTCCTACCGACGATCGCGCTGTGACCACGAGTCATACCGACGATCACGCCGTGACCGCGGAGTCATAACGACGATCGCGCCGTGACCGCGAAGTCCTACCGACGATCGCGCTGTGACCACGAGTCATACCGACGATCACGCCGTGACCGCGGAGTCATAACGACGATCGCGCCGTGACCGCGAAGTCCTACCGACGATCGCGCTGTGACCACGAGTCATACCGACGATCACGCCGTGACCGCGAGTCATACCGACGATCGCGCCGTGACCGCGAGTCATACCGACGATCGCGCCGTGACCGCGAGTCATACCGACGATCGCGCCGTGACCGCGAGTCATGACGACGATCGCGCCGTGACCGTGAGTCATACAGACGATCACTCTGTGACCCGCAAGTCACAAGTTTCTATAGATACCTGTAAATTGTTACCCATTTTTTTGTTTTTATAGATCAGTGCCACCACAAATGGTAAAAATTTATTTTGTATGTCTATTTTGGTAACTGCAATACAGTACTTTCTTTTTATGCACAGAAAAAAATCCCGTCCCGTCCCGTCCCGAAAATCGGGAAGGAAATAAAAATCCCGTCCTGTTCCGTCCCGAACTAAAAATTCAATCCCGTCCATCCCTAGTTATTATAGACAACCTAATGCGGCTATGAGTGGGGAAAATTTGTAGAAAACGCTACAAAACAAGGTCAGCTTTTGAAAAAAGTAGGGATGGTCAAGTCTCGAAATTTCGGGAAATTTTCGGGAAATTTTCAATCTCGTTACACGAGACGAGATTACTTTTTGGCCGAGATTTTTATCGAGACAAGAATAAAAAAAAAAAAAAAAAAATTAAAAACGCCTGCAGAAAGTCAATGCAATACCCGCAATACAGGAGCATGTTGTAGTTGCGTTTCCTTTTCGAAGGCGTTCTTATTTAATTAATTCTTTTAATGTAAATATTACTTTAATTCTTTTAATGTAAATATTACTTTCATTATTTTAATAATATTACTTTAATAACATTTGAGAAGTTTTGTTAGGTGTAAGCAGTGTGAGGAATGTTTTATTACTATAAAAAAAGTCAAAACAAGTAACTATTTTATAAAAATTAATATTGCTTTTATTTTATGATTTATTTTATTTTAGGATAAGTTGAACTCTATCCTAACTGATATCACCATGTTTCCTAATCGTAGGCATTTTTAATAAGTTAGGCGTGATTAATAAAAAAATGTTATGCTGATGTTATTTAATGAAAGATTGTAAATATTCTTGCCTATTATCATTATTTTAGTATTTAAACAGTCATCTAACAATGTTACAAAATCAGGTAAAAATTTTGAACGTGCATTTCCCGTTGTGTATGAGAAGAGAAATCTTGTCTCGAAATTTTATGAGAAATAAAAAATCTCGTCTCGTCTCGTCTCGAACTAAAAATCCAATCTCGTCCATCCCTAGAAAAAAGATAAGATATTTACAAAAAATTTTGATTTTATCTAACTGCTGTGTACATCTTGAGTATTTCCATAATCTTTGAGTCGACTCTTATAAAGTCATCGGAAATTATGACTGTTATTTGTTTTAAAATAACGCCTGTAATGCTTTGCAATTGCTCGAATTCGAGCAACAGGTACACTAGTTTAACTAATCTCAAAACAAAAGGTAAACTAGGTGGCGTTCGCAGAGGCATCCACAAAATTGAGCGGAGCCATCAAGGGTTCATATTATATTGTTTTTGTCATACTGCAGTAAAAACAGTCGTTTTTAATGCATGCGTTGCGGGTCTAAAGTAGCATTTTTACTCTTTAGGGAGTAAAAATCGTTTTTAGCCTCTATATACAGGGTGTCCCGGAACTCTCTACCAATATTTTAGGGCATTGCTCCTGGGTAAGAAACATACCTAAATATCATATTTAAATTGTCCGGAAGTCCTTAGTTACTCACACAGCCGCCATTTTGTTTTTTCCAGTTATTATTTTTTTTCTAAAGAATGGTTAAACATACGAAATGGAAACTTTGCACAAACATTAATGACAACTAGACAAAGCTACAAAAAAATTATGAAGATTTTTCAAATTCATAAAACAAAATGGCGACCATTTAAAATGTTGTTTCTTAAATAGCCCAAAAAGCGTTGATTTTATAAAAATTTTAAATGGCCGCCATTTTGTTTTATGAATTTGAAAAATCGTCATAATTTTTTTGTAGTTTTGTCTAGTTGTCGTAAATGTTTGTGCAAAGTTTCCATTTCGTATGTTTAACCATTCTTTAGAAAAAAAATAATAACTGAAAAAAACAAAATGGTGGCTGTGTGAGTAACTAAGGACTTCCGGACAATTTAAATATGATATTTAGGTATGTTTCTTACCCAGGAGCAATGCCCTAAAATATTGGTAGAGAGTTCCGGGACACCCTGTAGAGTAAACATCAGCTGTTGTCAACTCAGTTGTAAATTTCTATTGTAAACGGTTGCATGTATCAAAATATGTATCGATTCGTGCTTCGTAATCATTTTAACCTACAGTCTACAGTCTCTTCCCATAGTATTTTAGCATTGCAGGATACATTAATCCATTCCCACACTCAACACTGCTCACCTTTACTACTTCCTTCACCACCCCCTACGTCGTGGACATGTTTCCCTCTCTTCCCATAGCATTTTAGGATTGCAGATACATTAATGTAATTGCCAAAGACAGTTCCCACACTCTGCACTGCAAGCCTTACTACTTCCTTCACCATTGCCTACGTCATAGACCTGTTTCCTTCCATTCTCAGAGCATTTTAGGATTGAAGATAAATTATTGTATTTGCCAAACACAGTTCCCACACTCTGCACTGCAAGCCTTACTACTTCCTTCACCATTGCCTACGTCATAGACCTGTTTCCTTCACTTCTCATAGCATTTAAGTATTTGGTACATTTATCTAACTGCCCAAACGGTTCCCCCACTCTGCACTGCTAGCTTTTACTACTACCTTCACCCACAGCCAACTGTGCTTCGCCACCTCCTACGTCGTGGGGCCTGTTACCTTCCCTTCTCATAGCATTTTAGGATTGAAGATACATTAATATAACTGCTACAGACGGTTCTCACACTATGCTCATACTTTACTACTTTCTAAGCCACTTCCTACATCGTGGACCTGTTTCTCTCCCTTTCCATAGCATTTTAGGATTGCAGATACATTAATCTAATCGTCATAAACAGTTCCCACACTCCAAACAACTCGCCTTCACTACTTCCTACGTCGCGGACCCGTTTTCCTCCCTTCCCATAGCATTTTAGGAATGCAGATACCTTAATCTAATTGTCATAAACGGATCTCACACTCCAAACAACTCGCCTTCACTACTTCCTTTACCACTTCCTACATCGTGGACCTGTTTCTCTCCCTTTCCATAGCATTTTAGGATTGCAGATACATTAATCTAATCGTCATAAACAGTTCCCATACTCTGGACAGCTCGCCTTGACTGCTTCCTTCACCACATCCTACGTCTCGGACCTGTTTCCCTCCCTTCCCTTAGCATTATTGGATTGCAAATACCTTAATCTATTGGTCATAAACAGTTCCCACACTCCGAACAACTCGCCTTCACTACTTCCTTCACCACTTCCTACGTCGCGGACCCATTTTCCTCCCTTCCCATAGCATTTTAGGAATGCAGATACCTTGATCTAATTATCATAAACAGTTTCCACACTCCAGACAGCTCGCCTTGACTACTTCCTTCAGCACTTCCTACGTTGCGGACCTGTTTTCCTCCATTCCCATAGAATTTTAGGAATGCTGATACCTAAATCTAATCGTCATAAACAGTTTCCACACTCCAGACTGCTCACCTTTACTACTTTCTTCACCACTTCCTACGTCACGGACCTCAAGCTAGTGTCGTCATTTGATTATATTTATGATCCATACTGTTCCTGTTCTAATATCTGTGAATTAATGCCATCAGTTATTTCTTTATCTACTACATTCAAAAGTCAACAGCTGATCATATGTTTTTGTTTATGTGTAAAATACTGCTTCCATAAGGATTACATTGAATCTTTGAGACCCAGTGGGGCGGATTCCTGAGAGACTTTTTTAACGCCATATAGATGTTGGCACTCACCGATATGGTCTTTATCACTATGCAAAATTTGAAAACGATTGATTCAGCCGTCTAGGAGGAGTTTGCGTATTACGAAATGCATAAGAGTCGACGTATAAGAGCTTCGCTCGCTCCGCTCAACAATAATAATAAATAAACAGTTCATCTGATCTTTTAAACATTAAACATATGGTTAATTAATAACACAACATCTCTCTTTGTCACACATCTTCTTTTAATCCTATCGTTTTGGTCTTCTTAGGAGTCTCTGACTTCTTCGAGAAGGGTTATGGGTTATCTGATCAGGTACACGAGGGATTGTATTAGGCTGTTCAATATTCACTCATTCTTCTAATGGCAATAGTGTTAGATGCCATTGATTTCTTCTAAGCCGTCTTCCACTATTTAGTGTTACCCAATATGATCGGGGATAAATGTCTGATTTTGATACGATTTCTCTGTTACATTTCAGGTCTCTAATCCAGACCTTATCCCCTTCTTCCAGAGGTTTTAGTTCACTTGCTCGTCTCCTGCTATCAAAATTCCTCTTCATTCTCTCTTTTATGCGTTTGTCGTTTTGTTGAAAACCAGCCAAATCATTAGTATTGACTTTTTCAAAATCTTTCAATGACGGAAGATTTGACCTCAATTTTCTCCCATAAAGCAACTCTGCTGGAGACAGTCCCGATTCTAGCTTTTTTGTCCGGTAAACTAATAGCCCTAGATTTGGATCTTTATTTTTCAACAAAATTCTTTTGGCTATTGTCACTGCGTTCTCAGCACCTCCATTTGCCTGAGGAAAGTATGGACTAGTGGTAGTTGCTTCAAACCCGTACTCTTTTGCAAAATCCTTGAACTCTTGCGATGTGAATTGAGTTCCACCATCAGTCCGAATCTTATATGGAATTCCATGTCTTGCAAAAATGTTCCTTAACTTTCCTATAACCAAATTGGAGGACAGAACACTGAGTTCAACTAACTCAATAAATCTTGAATAATAGTCTTGAACCACCAAATACCACTTCCTATTACACATAAATAGATCTGCGGAAAGATAAATCCAAGGACCTTTTGGAAGTTCTGTGGGCATCAAAGGCTCTTTGTTCACTTGACGGTGTTCAAGACACACAAGACAGTTTTCTACTTCAGACTTCACAAAGCCATGCTTAAAGTTAGTGAATCGTCCATTTGTAGAGTCTCTGAAAGTTTGGAATCATTGACTCCAATTACAATCAAATCACGTATCAACTCTTCCTTCAAATTTCCGAATTCACATGTTTCAGCTAATTTATGAAGGTCATTTATAAAAGAATCCACTGTTTCATCGGCCCCTTGTCTTCTCTTAAGAAACTTGGCACGTTCATACACAATGTTACATTTGACTTTTAAGAAATCATTAAAGCTTTTAACTACTTCTTCATACTGAAGATTATTTTCTTCCGAAATACCAAAGGTACGGAAAAGATCCTCACCCTTGTCGCCTAGAGTGTACAAGAGCATACTTATTTGTTGACTGTTAGGCTTAAAGCAGAGCTCTGAAGCAATCCTGTACCTCTCAAACCTTTTCATCCAACGAGGCCACAAGGCGGGATTTTGAAAATCAAAAGCTTCAGGTGGAGAAATTTAAGTTTGCATACCTGACACTGAAGTAACTCTCAAAGCTTCAGTTGAGGTTTTATCTCTGTAACCGCTCTTCGAACAAACCTGATTCCTAGGCCTAGACTCATCTTCACTTGATTCAAGATCGAATTCGTTTTGTAAGTAATCCCTTTTCTTCAAATTTCCTTTAGATGTTCTTTTATTTCTGCTTCCCATACTTATTTCTACCTGACACCATGTGAAGAAACTATTTATTAAATCAAAATCTACATTTTAGGAACAGTATTTTATCTAGTAATTTCAATAACTAATCTCAAAACAAAAGGTAAACAATAATAATAAATAAACAGTTCATCTGATCTTTTAAACATTAAACATATGGTTAATTAATAACACCACAAAAGGGATAGAATCTAGTTTATCTTTCTGGGGTGAATGGATAGGCAATAAAAGCTCATTTAACTTGACACTGACATTTTATCCTAGTATACTACTTCAGAGAGTAGATGGACATAATTTCATTTTTGTAATATTTTATACAGTCTGGCTTGACACCACTTCATGTGGCCAGCTTCATGGGTTGTATGAACATCGTCATCTACCTGCTGCAGAATGAAGCAAACCCCGACGTTCCAACAGTGCGTGGTGAGACCCCACTGCACTTGGCAGCTCGGGCCAATCAAACGGACATTATACGCATACTGCTGCGCAATGGTGCCCAGGTGGACGCTCGTGCCAGGGTACGTACCATTTGACATCATTGTTCATGCTCTTTGGCTTAGTTGAACTACTTACTTTTTTTCCTAGCTACATGTGTTCATAGTAAAATTATCAAATTAATTATTTGTCTAATTTATACTGTTAAAACATAATATGGTAGGGCCTATTTATAAATAAAATAAAATAGTTTGTTCTTTTGCAAAAATTAAAAAAAGTGTGTTCATTTTCTCTCTCTCACACACACACACGTGTTCTTTCAATTTCAACATTACCCCTCTGGTTGATCGAATTATTTTGTGTTACCTTTTCTAATTTTATTCTCTTGTGTTTTAAAACATTGGTGATTGGTACTTTAAGCCCAGATACCAAATATCAGTCCTTCCTCTCTAATCATTCATTGGTAGGCCTATGTCGAGCCCAGATGTTGTCTATCAGTCTTTAATCATTTAATCATACAGTTATCTAACTCATTTATTTATTAATATAACTCATTACTTACAAATATTTATTATACAGTACAATGTTTGCACCAGAGAGACAGAAAACTACCTTGAGCACCCATGTTCTTTACTTTGATCATTTTTTTTTTTAACTGAGCTGTGTGAGCTGTTTTAAGAGTTTTTATTCATAACATTATTTGCACACAGAAACGATGATTCAACAAGAGCTGATAAGTCAATGACTCAGTCGATTGTGTGACAAAACCGAAAACTAGGGATGGTCAAGTCTCGAAATTTCGGGAAATTTTCGGGAAATTTTCGGGAAATTTTAAATCTCGTTACACGAGACGAGATTTCTTTTTGGCCAAAATTTTTATCGAGATGAAAAAAAAAAAAAAAAAAAAAAATTGAAAACGCCTGCAGAAAGTCAATGCAATACCCGCAATACAGGAGCGTGTTGTAGTTGCGTTTCCTTTGCGAAGGCGTTCTCATTTAATTAATTCTTTAAATGTAAATATTACTTTAATTATTTTAATAATATTACTTTAATGACATTTGAGAAGTTTTGTTAAGTGTAAGCAGTGTGAGGAATGTTTTATTACTATAAAAAGTCAAAACAAGTAACTATTTTATAAAAATTAATATTGCTTTTATTTTATGATTTATTTTATTTTAGGATAAGTTGAACTCTATCCTAACTGATATCACTATGTTTCCTAATCATAGGCATTTTTAATAAGTTAGGCGTGATTAATAAAAAAATGTTATGCTGATGTTTTTTAATAAAAGATTGTAAATATTCTTGCCTATTATCATTATTTTTGTATTTAGACAGTCATCTAACAATGTAACAAAATCAGGTAAAAATTTTAAACGTGCATTTCCCGTTGTGTATGAGAAGGGAAATCCCGTCTCGATCTCGTCTCGAAATTTTATGAGAAATAAAAAATCTCGTCTCGTCTCGTCTCGAACTAAAAATCCAATCTCGTCCATCCCTACCGAAAACCTAAAGCAGCACTGTGGTACAGTTACTGAAAATTATCATTACTGTACTTTAGCAGGTCAGCTACTACATAACTTTGAATTCGCCAGGAACAGACCTGAGGAAAAAGCACTTAGAAAATAAAAGAGATAAAAGTAGCAAAATTGTAATGGTTATGAGTAAATGATAGGTTGTGTAAATTTGGTATCGGTAGGTTTTGGATTATTTGATTGTGAATGGGCGCACAGTATATCTTGGTGCTTTAGCCACGTTGTGGGCTATATTTTACCTTCCTCATTAACCCTTGACGGGCTCGCCGAAATTCCCTTTTCTCAAAATGCTATGGACTACTATACTTGTCTTTTAATACAGAGTGCATTGGCTGGTCTTGGTAGTTCTGGCACGCCTCACTTGCCGGTCTCTGCTAGGCCTATGAGATACGCCAGCGCTGTGGACGGGCTAACTCGCAAGTGTTTTGTTAACTCGCAGACTCCGCGGGAAACTTTGTTCTCTGCGTTAGTTATTATATTGGCTTAATTGTTGTTATATTATTATTATTATAAAAAGTATTCAGCTTTGACTTTTGGGAAAAATATTTTTTAGGTATATATATCGTTACAGCCAAGGCCACCTGTAGCGCGGTAAGGGTTAAGAACTTTTTACTTAATAGCATTTTTAGCATCTAAAACTTAAAGGTACCTGAACGTGATAAAAATGTGCATCCTGCTATGAGCATATTTCTCACACACAGAAGGTTACTTTATAACATACTTGTAGACATTAAGGGAGGGTTTGTTTATGTTCAGGAGCAGCAGACCCCGTTACATATCGCTGCCAGACTAGGCAACGTAGACATTGTGATGTTGCTGCTACAGCATGGTGCGGCAGTGGACTGCACTACCAAGGACCTGTACTCAGCTCTGCACATTGCTGCCAAGGAGGGCCAGGACGAGGTAACGTACCTGGTGCAACGTCGTATCATGGACCACATAGACGCAACGTACCTAGTAGACAGGTTCTGGGCCAAACGCAACGAGATTTACTTGTAACTGAGAAAGTCAGATAGGCCTACTGGACAGTTCCAGGATAAGGCAATGCTATAGACAAATACTTTTAAAAATTTAATCAAATGATTTTTGAAGTTTGGTGAATATCACTTAATATCTTTGTGCTAACTTTTGTTGGTATTGATGAAACCAATAATTTAATCGTTTTCCGAAATACGGTTTTAAGAAATATAAAACCGCTTAAATTGTAGTTGTAAAATAATCTTTATAAATAATTCATTTTCTGAGAATAACTTTATCTGTTTATAAATGTTATGTAAATTAATAGTAATATAGGCCTATGTCATTTGTTGGTAAATTTATTTTTATTTGTTCATACTAGCTTATTTCATTTTCTTTAATCTTCTTGAAACTATCTAGATCTTATATGCAGAATATTGTAAACATCTTGTAAAACAAAGTTGTATAGGAATAAATAAATACAATAAACCGTGATTTTACTGAGCTTCCAATGGTGAGATGTTATTTTTAATTTCTTAACGCACATGAACAACTGTAGGTACAATGCCACTGATATTGAAAGATATTATATGGTTATTGAAGATTATATGGTCTATGAAAAAATCATCATTTCCAACCAATGATTTTCAGTTATCGATCAAGTCGATAAGCAGAAAAATCTGGAGGAAATTTATACAGATGTAGATTTTACTAAAGTAAAAACTAACACAATAATAATACCTATTTTAATGAACAATAATCAAGGCTAACCTTTATTTGTAGTGATCCTATCAATAACATTAACTTCCAAATAATTTGTATTGTAACAGTAAATTTGGTTTTTGAATATATTTTGTACCTATTAATATTGTTTTTACCATCTCAGTTTGATGCAAATTGTTCCAAGAGCTGTTACATATACTAATAAATGATTTATTTTTTGATTAAATTACTTATTTCCCTTATTTTTTAGCTGAGTATTTTTACTTTTTATTTTATTAATTATTTATCATTTTTACCATGTGGATACTGTGTAAAATACTTGCTACTAGAAACATAACAAATTCAATTTTAAATGATTTTTTTTAAGCTTCAAAATACGCTTAGTGGTAAGTTTTCTTGTCCAAAAATATTTCTTTAGATTTATAGAACGTTCAATAATTTTACTTTGGTAAATCAAGTTTCTATTTATTTGTCATTTAAGGAACTGAGTATTTGACATATCCCAGCAAAACACAGAAATCTAAGATAATTGCAACTGTAAATGATAATTCATCAGCGTTTTAGTCTAAAAAGCTTGTAGAAGTGACAAACTTAACTTTAAAAAGTAAAAACAAAGCTTATGTTATTTATAGAATGAACTTATTCTAAAGTAATAAATGTATAAATGGCAACTTTTAAAATTTGTTTTGCATCTAACTGCCAGTTAATTATTTCTGTATATTTGAGCTATACTACCTGGTGCTTATTGGTAGGCCTACTGTACAGTGTTGCCACGGGAGTCAGCAGTTGCGGCCGCTCGGGAAGGTAAGCTCCGCTGACTCCCGTGTGGTGTGCTCCTCCACTAACATTACATTCATAATCATTATCTCCTTATTTATGATCAAGTATAAATAATCTGCATGTTTGAGACTGATTTGATGCACATTGTTTGGCATTGGCGTTTTGAGGAAAGAGTCACATCCGTTAGGAGCGTAAATTTATTTGAGGTTCTCCTCACTACTTTTTACTAGACACTGATATTGTGTGATGTGTATTGCCGATTGAATGTCTCTTTTTAATTCAAAACAAATAAGAAACATGGCCAAATCTTTGTTTTGCAAAACAAAACACTGAATGAGCATGAAACTGTAAGAGGAGAGTAGTTTCATAAATACTTAATATTTCTCAGTATTTCATAAAATCGTGTGTTTATATTCAAAGCATAGTTTTCAAAACCATTAAAACCCCTCATTTTAACAATTTACTAATTTGTCTGTTTCCTCAGTATTAATATTATAAATAAATAATTGTTCTCAGCTTTGCTGGATCTGTTGAACATTAAGTGAAAATAAATGATTGTCTATTGTATAATATGAAACTTATACGGTAGGTATAAAAAAAAATATCATATTTATTTTTGTTCTAATTGGTTATTTATTAATATTTGTATTTATGGATTGGAATTGTGTTTAACAATAGTATTGACATTTTGATAGGAATATTAAAAAAAGGCTTATAATAGGCTATATTTATTCCTGAAATCGTCCTTTGTAATCATTTCTTTAAAAGATAGACAAAAATAAAATAAGTGATGGGCATAATGTTCTTTAACTTTTGTTTAACAGTAGTTAAGTACTTTTTTCTCTGTATAGAAAAAGTGATAATTTTAGCGCTAACTTGTAGGTTAATATTTTCTAAACTACTGCCAATTTAAGAGAAATCCTGCAAGTCTGTGTGTTATGTGTAGGTGGCAGCAGTGTTGTTAGAGAACGGAGCTTCAGTGACAGCCACCACCAAGAAGGGGTTCACTCCCCTCCACCTGGCGGCCAAGTACGGCAACATGAAGGTGGCCAGGCTGCTACTGCAGAGGGATGCTCCAGTGGACGCCCAGGGCAAGGTAACCTCTCTACCATGGGTCTCCTGTCTTTCTAATCATTTAATGATTTTTGGAACAACTGACACATCTTAAGTACAAAGGGATTGGCACCTGGTAGGAGAGGCTGTATGGTTCCCATAAGCTTAATTTACTATCCAAATTACCACTGTCTTACTGTCTTACTTGGCCTTCACCCATCACCCCTTTAATTTAAACATTACAAATCTGGCGATAAATTTCAATTGGTGTGTGATTTTTTTCCAACTAAAATCTGATCATAGAGCACCCCCTCACAACTGGTAATACAGCTCTCATTTGAACACTTTACCTCAGACAAAGTACAAGAGCTATAATGTGCATGCTACCTTATGAATGCTTTGATTACTAAGATGACGGTGATAGCCCCACCCCAAGTGGCACCAATGCGAAACGTCTTTTACTTCCTGGACGTCTTATGAAATTATATGTTGTTATCTGTATAGAAGTACCCACAATTGTTTAAAAACTTTTACATTGTTTCTCACAAACAATGTTTCAAAGCTGAGCTAAATGTAATATACATTTCAAAGTGTAGCCTATTGTCTTAATTGAAGCAATGAAACATAAAAAAAAAATTATGGTTACACATTTTAAAGGTCTGTTTGTTTACCATAGTTATTTAGTAAAGCATCTTTTTATGCATATTTAATTGGGCGCTACAATTTAAAATTGTATTAATTCAACATTTAGCCTTCAACCTGTTTGCCTGGTGTTTGTTTACACAGAACGGAGTGACACCTCTGCATGTAGCCAGCCATTATGACCACCAGAATGTAGCCCTGTTGTTGCTGGACAAGGGAGCTTCTCCTCACGCTACTGCCAAGAACGGGCACACACCTCTCCACATAGCTGCCAAGAAGAACCAGGCAAGTTACTGCCAGTGTTGGTTATTATTCAGCTGTAAAGCTGAAATCCAAGGTAGTTGTGTAATTTTATTTTCCATCTCACTGTCAGACCCATATCCAAACTAATTCAAGTCTAAACCATCAGAGGTTAATTCAAAGAAGAATTAATTAGTGTTTTTTAATCCACTCTGCACTTGTTTGCCTTCCTATAATCATATCTTCATATCTAGCTAAAAGCTAAAAGTTATAATACAATTTAAACTTTCAAGGTTTCAAGCAAGCTCACTAACTTATTTTTTTTCAGTATATAACATAGAATCCATCTACTTAACTTTAAAACAAAACAATCGTTAATCCGTTATACTAGCTCGTTCTCTGCGTTAGTTATTATATTGGCTTAATTGTTGTTATATTATTATTATTATAAAAAGTATTCAGCTTCAATTCAGCTGCAGAGGATTGATTCTATCTGCAATGACTGGATATTTTTGCTGTTGTAGTCTTTCAGACAATGTATAAAAATAATGTACTGATGCTGTAGCTGAATGATGTATGAAGTCACAATATATATTTGTTTAGATGGACATAGCCACAACTCTTCTGGAGTATGGTGCCAAAGCGAACTCAGAGTCTAAGGCTGGTTTCACCCCTCTCCACCTCTCCTCACAGGAGGGCCACGTGGACATGAGCTCTCTGCTGATAGACCATCAGGCCGACACCAACCACAAGGCCAAGGTGCTGATTAGTAATATTCTGTTGTACAAGTCTTTGGAGTATTTATTGACATTAATAAATTAATAAGTCAGTACACATTTTTCCTAGGGTCTCCTAATATAAATAACTTTAACTTTAAATGTAGAGGGCGTGATATACCTTTCCCACAATAAAAAATCACGTTTTTTGAATGACAACGATAACGACTCCTTGATTGTAGGAGACAATACTGTCTATGTCTATGTGACCTTATTCTGCTTTCTCGGCGTCACTGCTGGTCGTCTCTCGCTATCGTGTCAACGCCAGTAATCGGCTTTTGATGACCAGGCTTGAGATAATCGACGCTTGACTGTAGGTTACTGATACCGAGATCTGATTTTGATCAGTTATAGATAATGACCTTAAAAATGTGATGGCACAAAGCTTAATGCCAATTTGCTATTGACTTTCTATTACAAATACTCTAAGCCTGAAATGTAAACCTTCAATAAATATTAAACAAATTTAATGTTACTGAATTATGAGTGGTGGTAGACAGTGTTGGATTTACGAATATGCCGTGGTTTAGGACCACAGGGTATTGTACAATAAACGCTGCGATCGTGATTCCATACCCCCAGACCCCCCGGTGTTTAGGTGGTAAACGACCTACAACCCAAGATTCCAAGCAATGGCCCCCTCCGAGAATCTGTGCTGTAGCCGCTTCTGTAAGTAGGGAATAAATCTGACAATTTCAAGGAAATATTTTATTAAAAATCCAATAAGCCCAATAGCAATTCATTTTGTCTGCAGGTTGCTGCAATGGGAGGGGGGGGGGGGTTGAATATTATTTAGTCATAAAAGTCTTCACATTACTTTCTTAAAAGTCATCAAAAATAACATAATCTAATATCACTTTTAAAATGTTTTTATCTTTCTAGAATGGCCTGACCCCACTTCATTTATGTGCTCAAGAAGACCGAGTGAATGTCGCTTCCATTTTGGTCAAAAATGGTGCTGAAGTCGACTCAACTACTAAGGTAGGTCAATGCATTGGTCTTGTATAATTAAACAGTCGTTCTTATAATGTGATCTTAATCTAAATTTTGCTTATAAACTATATACATCATCTCAGGTTTATAAGATGCAATTTGCAATCATTGCAATTTGCATTCTCACAACCACAACAACTGAAGCTGTACCTGACAATATCTCTTTGTTAGTAAAATGTTATTGTCATCTCTAGTCACAGACTATCGTGGAATGCCACTCAGATATCTCATAATCCGACGTCATGTTTGTTGTTGCTGGCATTATACTACTATCCGAGTATTCCTTATACCTTATTCTATGTATCCATTGTTGACCAGCAATGACTGGATAGATTTCCTCAAAACAAAAAGTTTAAGTTTTAATATTTTGGATATTTATAGCGGTTAACAGGCTGTAGTTACGAGGTCCATTCACCGTTTTCCTATGTGAAGTATTCCTTAATGGAGTGCCGCGCCTAGAGTAGCTCCTCTACTCTCTGAGTCTGATGCCAAGGACAGGGTTGCAATCTTTTTGTTTGTTCAGCCTGCAGAAAGAAAGGTTTAAATTTTCTGATTTTCTTGTATTATAACTATACAGTTGGTTTCTGCAGCTGAGGTTGTCTATATTTTCCTTAACCTGCACCAGACAGTTGTAGATGAATTGGCTGTAAACAGTCATCACTCCTAAGACACGGAAAAGTGGCCTACAGTGTTCGAGCCTTTCGCTGGACATTATAGCGCTTCTAGCAGCCTTTTGAACTGTCACAATGCTCTTGGTCTCTGAAGTGTGTCCCCAGACAATGACACCATAGCTCATTAGGCTAAGAAAGAGGCCATAATAGGCCAGCTTTAGGTAGGTATCTGTGACCGAATTTTTAAATTTTCTTAAAAGGAAAACAGTTCTGGAAAGTCTGCCTCCCATTTCATTTATGTGCTTGCCCCATGTCAACTTACTATCCAGCCAAAAACCTAGTAGTTTGACAGGTTGTTGCTGCAGAGTTTGGTGTTTTAGACTGCATGTAAGTTCCTGAGTTTTATCATTGTTTATTTTTAGGTTATTCATTGAAAACGAAAACCAGGCTTTCGCTTCGTCCAGTATTTTCGCTGCTTCGATTTTCAGTTGGTCCAAGTGACTATAGCTCGTAATGAGGGTGGTGACACTGACATCAGCAAAGAACAAAGTTCTTCCGTCAGTCCCCAGGTTGTTTATAAAAACCAGGAAGAGAACAGGCCCAAGGATCGAACCGTATGGGACCCCTAAGCTGACATTCAGTTCACTGGAGACTGGAGAGAGCTCCCGTTTTAGACACCACTTGCTTTCTGTCACATTTATTCCATATATGTCAGGGCTGTTCGAGTTTGAGAAATTCTTTACATTAGATTCACTTTGACTTGGGGTTACAAGTTTCCAGTTTTCTAATTTGTTCAGTGAGTTTAGAGGGATATTGTCAGCTGGATCGACATAACATTCGGTGAAATGTGAAGCAATGTTAGTAACGGTTTAGTGAGTCGGTGGCTCAGTCGGTAGCGTCGAGGACTTCAGGCCCAAGGCAGCGATATCGTGGGTTTGGATCCTGGTCACTGCCGAAAACATTTTATCAGTACAGATCACCTTTGTACTGTACCGTCTCATTCCTTGCTTTGCTGTATACGATCCACGCACAGATCTGTATCTATAGATCTGTATGTGGACGGGCAAATGCAAGGTTAAAAGAGGCCGCCAACCTCTAAAAAACCAAAAAAAAACAACACCATCAATGAAAAAGGTATTGAAGGTATCTGGGCTATTGTTTTTTTTTTGCAAATTGTATCTGTTTTCCTGCTTGAGTTTATGAGGTCCCATGCAACTTTGTTTGGGTTCTGAGAATTTGTGATGTCGTTTGAATTTGATTCCTTTTTAACTTTGGTTACTGGTACCCATTCCTGTACCCTATTCAATAATTTTATCTCAAACAAATTGAGTTTTATAAATTAGTGTTGCAATGGAAAACCTTTCAACATTCAGTCCACTCCTTGCACTGCTCAAGAATAAACTGTCTACTGATCAGATTTCTATATCACTCAAATGTATCTTTTATTACTACCCGTTAAAACATGTGAGTGTTAAGCTATGTCAACACTACAGTCACTACAGTTATGATTTTTGTAAGGATACACCTTGACTTTGTTTGCAGTCAGTGTGTCTGTTACAGGCGGGTTACACACCACTACATGTTGCTTGCCACTTTGGTCAGCTAGGCATGGTGAGGTTTCTGCTAGACTCCGCCGCTAGGTCTGATGCTACCACAGCTGTAGGCTACACTCCCCTTCACCAGGCAGCTCAGCAGGGTCACTGCGCCATAGTCAACACACTGTTGGAACACAACGCTCCACCCAACGCCACCACCAACGTTAGTACCTTGCCTACTCAACTATTATACATAAGGCTTAGGATAGCCTATGCTAAATCTTATTCAGAAAATAGAGGGATGCAACGATTGAGCCAAACTGGAGCTGAGTCTTTGGATGGATCTAATTCGTATAGGACTCACTTCATGGCAGGAATGTGTTTTACTTTGTGTAAATTTAAAATGTAAGATTGTTTCAAATATCAGCAATAATCCTGTAAGTAACACTTAATAAGGCTATCAAAGTCAATTTAACTGTATTACTATCACCGTACATTTTTAATTAGTGACCGTAAGCAGTGCTCAATTTGGGGCGGAACGGCGTTCTGGTACCTCTCTTTAGGGAAGATATCTTTAGGAAATATTGGCATAAATGGGTACCTACCATAAATAGGTACTACTTACTTACTTACTCCTTTGGCCACACAAATCCCAAGTGATTTTTGGCCTCGCCAACAATGCGCCTCCACTGCTGCATGTCCTCTGCTGCCTTAACCTCCTAACCATGTTTGTCCTCTCTCCTAACCTCCTGAGGTCCTGCCTCACTTGGTCATTCCATCTTAATCTGGGCCGTCCCAGCGGCCGTCGTCCTTCTGGTTGCCCCATCCATAACCCTTTCAATCATACTGTTAACAGCTCTTCTATATACGTGTCCCAGCCATCGTAATCTTATGCTCTTTACCATTACTATAATATCTGGGTACTATACATGAATAGGTACATTAAATAGGTTACAGGCTCGGCAACTTTTTTTTTTACAAATCGAGCACTGGTGTAAGTATTTACTAGTTATTGAATGATTGTAAAAAATGTTTCTCATGGGGTCCTGAAGTACAACGGTCCAAAATTGTGTAGTTTTTCAGTAATTGGGTCCAACCCCTAATTTGACTATCCAAACATATCATTTTAATGTTTTTAGTTGAATTTTGATTGATTAGATTGAGATTAATGTGTGGTTTATGTGATTGAGTTTTTGTAATTTCTTTGACTATATATGTATTCAGTGAGTCAGTGAATAATAAAAAACATAGTATTCACAAAATTATGGAAACTGTTTGTCATAATTGTAATACAGACAATCGCGTAGTCCAATTTGTTTCTTTGATTCAAAAGGGGTCTAAGCATTGGTTCAGCAGTTATTACTGCTTTCTATTTTATTGTGTCATAACTTTGTATTTCAAAGGGAAAACTCAATCATTGCCTAACAATTTTTTCAAAAATTTTACATTTTAAGTCAACAAGCACAGTAGCCTACATATCATCAAACACTGTGCCATGGTGTAATGCTATGGTTTTTACAACTTTTGTAAATAAATGTTAAATGACAATGTGTTTCTCAGCAAGGGCAGACTGCAATGTCCATCGCTCAAAAGCTGGGCTACATCAGTGTGATGGAGACTTTGAAGGGAGTAACTGAGCCAGGCACCATCACACCGCTGGGGGAGGAGAAGTACAAAGTGGTCAGTCCAGAAACTATGCAAGAGACTTTCATGTCAGACTCTGAGGATGAGGGAGGTAAATAACTCAGTTTGAAACACTTGCAATCATTTCACAATAGGAATATTTCGTGTTATCTATCCCTCTACTTTGTAGCCAATCAGATTATATTTCTGTACCAAAATGAGAGAACTGAGCTTGAAACTTATAAATTTGGAACTGAAATTGGTATCAGAATGGCTGAGCGGTTATGGAAACATCATCATTGTCTTCCTCGAATGAAACAAAAAGGTGAACATCTCCCGTGGTCGTGTGGTTATCATCATAGTCTCCCGCGATCATGGGACTGTCATCGGTGTTATACTTGATTGCGGCTAAAGCGTGAACATTTCCCAGAGGCGTGTAGACATCATCGTCGTCTCCCGCGGTTACATGAATTTCATTGTCGTCATACATCCAATATCCCTGCAAAAACATACATTTTCGATCATGTGATCTTCGCAGACGTTTTGATATGACTTTTAGTGATCGATTGTTATTAAAAATACCAATGTCCAAGATATGTTGGTATTGAGAATAGACACGTCCCTAGTCAAACCAGCTATTTGAAAAATACCCCCGCAGTGCAAGTGAATTTCCATTTGCCTGATCGGATTTTCTCTAAAATATTTCCTTAAACATTTAAGATTCATTCCCTATTTAAATAACATTTGGTTTAATGGGTACTTACTTAGGTTTGCTGCTGATAGGAATGTAATTAAGTGTGTTTTCAGTAAAACGTCAAAAAATGGTACAGTAGACCCCCTCTTTACTGACCCCGCATTACCTGATAATCGGATTATCTGCCCTTGATTAAAAAAAAAAAAAAGAGGTTGGCGGCCTTTTTTAACCTTGCATTTGCCCGTCCACATAGACTAAGCGCCCGTGCATGGATCGTTTGCAGCAAAGCAAGGAGTGAGCCAGTACAGTACACAGGTGGACTGTACTGATAAAATGTTATCGGCAGTGACCAGGGTCCGAACCCACGACATCGCTTCCTTAGGCCCGAAGTCCGCGACGCTACCGACTGAGTCACCGACTCACTAACTCGATTGTAAAATATGTGTTACTGTTACCTTATTTTATGTGTATTTTGTTAACACTTTCTTAGTCTAAGTTTTGCCCAGATGTTACAGCAGGCGGATAAAATATTTGTCATCTGATGCTAGGCTCAACAATTTATTATTTATTATGTATGATTAACCTTTTAACTGGCCACACTACTTGAAAAAGTGACCAGTTTACATTTCTCAACAATTATTATGTTTGTAAAGTGTTTTGTATTATGGGAAATAAATTCATTTATTCATTTATTCATTTATTCATTCATTTATTCATTTATTCATATTATAGTTTGTTTTAACTGACCTTGCTTTGAGATCAGTTCGGTTTAACCATCGCTTTCTAGGAATCTCCGCATTTCCGCCCCCACGCTTGTCGATGGAAACCATACGCTTATCTCCACAGGATGTGACTAAAAATTAGTTATTTTGTATGTATCCCAAAAAATTTTTGTTTCTGAAAACAGATGCTATTTTTTATTTTTGTAATATAATCTAGAACTATCTTATCGCTAGAGTAAACAAACAACGCAACTTGTAGGGAGGGCAGGGGAGGGGGGTTAACGACTTCAAGGTCAAGATAGAATTTGTGACTCGAGCCTCAGTTAGAGGCTATAAATATAAATAAACATTCAGTCTCGTAACGAATTGGTTGCTTGTATCGACAAAAAGTTCTTTACTGTAGTACGATAGATTCGGAAAGCATCAATTAATATTACAGTACTAAGTTATTAAAATAAGAATTTTATTGACTCTTGCCTACAGTAATGTTGTGGGTTTTGTGTTTATTTGTGACTTTTATATCAATACGAAAAAATGAGATAAGTGTAGTATATTATTTTATAAATAATGCAAGTACGACTTTAAAATATGATTACATAATTCCAAATGAATAGCACTTAATTTTGCTATGTTTTAGGGATAGCCCGTTATAACCGACCTTTTGGGTTATCCGACCTAGGTCCGGTCCCATTATGGTCGGTTAAGAGGGGGTGTACTGTATGAAATAAATCACTTTACTATTTGATCGCAATATAAAACTCCAATGTAAAATTAATTATCAAAAGAAGCTACAATACTAATATTCTCCATATCCCCTTGATATTCTCCATCAGAATTTTAAACATGGGAATTTTAAACTTAAGCGTACAGTTTTTAGCAAGTTTACCATATCGGGAATAAGTTATTACTCTAGATCTCATGGTTAGACCTGTGACAGATTTACTTTTTGTGTTCATGTCCCCAGAGGATACCACATTATGACTAACAACATTGTTCAGAAAGTGTTCCTCAACAACCAGTGTTTGATCATAGACTAACCAACACAAGTAGACTTCTCATCTCATTGTTAATTTTGAAGCTCGTTTTTTTTTTCTAGTTCATGTACGGTGACACTGGGGGCTGGGAGTGTCGACTAAATTTTGTTTCTATTATTTTAAAGTTAATTTCATAATTTGAGCTTTACTGTTTGGCTATATAACTAGGGGACAGGTTATTGTTTACGATTAGATCGTATTATTTGGTTAAACGAGGATTTTTATGATTGAAATAACAAGAAACAAATTGTAAACAAAACACAACCTTTACAGTGCACTCGCACTGTACAGAACTAACAATAAAATTGGCTTCAGCTGTTCCATAGGGATGAGAAATCTACCAAGAGAGTATGTTTTGTCTATGGTTTGATGTTGTTTTTTTGGTAATAACTTAATTAAAGAAAGACAACAGCAACCACCAAACAAGGATATCTTAGTTTTTAGGACGAGTTTTTGAACATTTCTATTTTCTAATACTGAAAAAGGATAGTTAGCTATAATCATATCAGGTAGCCTATAAATTATGAATTCTAAAATAAAAAAAATAATGATTCATCCATCACACTTTTTGTTTTTATATTTGAAATGTTTTGTATGAATATAGGGAGTTACCTGTCCACCTCAAAATAGGAAGAAGATGTATTCATCATTTAATTCTATAATTCAGAATAGGGGTCTGCGGTACAGAAAATTTAAGGGTCGGTACGGTACAATATTTTGTACCTTTGTTCTCAGTACAAAATCAGTACAGTACACGGCTACCCCTATTTTTGCGGTTTTCTGCTCAGAACTGTATCTAAACCATAATTGTTTTTACTTTAATACATTGACATTACTATGAAAATGGATAGTATCCTACATTCATGGTTTTCTAACAACAATTACTGTACCACACATTATTAAAACAAAACCTTTTATTTACTACTACGAGGATTGTGTCAAGAAAAATCACAGTAAAGATAAAGGATACTTTTAATAGCCATGATAAAAGTGGTCTTAAAAATAGGTTAAGAGTTTTTAGGAATAAACATGTTTAAAACATTTATTGACAAGATAATTTCACACAACTGGTAAATTATTTCCAACCAACACAATGTCTAGTTGTTTTAAAAAAATTTAAAAACATATAAAAGCATTCAGTATGACGAGAGTGCAGTTGCCAGCTGTTCACAGCAGACGACAGTGAAAAACTGGAGGCTGTGATGAAGTAATGGCAAAGACCATCTTTTTTCTATCAGCTCCAAAACTAGTTATAAGATGGATACAACTCTTGCAATGTTTTTTTCTGAAACTAAAATTTGGATTATCACAGAGTAAGATTATTGTATTTTCATTTACAAAGTTAACATCCACAATATCAATCATATCAATCATTAGTTAATCTCAGGCTCAATCCAATTTTCTTAGTATATTTTAAAGCTCTTCCAAAGAATCAAAAGACCCAGGCCTAGACCTAATTATTTGGGAGGGCCTATATATAAATTGATTCTAGGTTACAATGAGGGTAGCAAAATCACTATCTAGTTCATAATATTTAGATTTCATAAAGTACCTTCAACACAATAAAAAATACAGGAAACTAAAAAACATTTAAGCCTTAAACAGCCACATCTAACAATATAAGACAAGATACAGAACATGCAATGACATAATTTGAGACCGAGTTGGCTTGAATAACAAAAAAAAACTATGCAAAACAACAACTATGCTTGTGGTTTCGTCAATAGAAAGATAAAATATCCATAACAAATATTTTAAATTATAAAATAAGATTGTAGATCAGTTACAAGTTTAATATGTAGCCATAAACAGTTTTATGGCAGTAGGCAATGGCCAGCCGGCAAATTGAATATTCACGAAAATACTGACTGAGTTAGAGATAACATTTAACAGTCATCATAAAACTATTATTTTTATGATAAAATAGATTTGGGAAAGTCGTAAAGAAATAAAAGTGATAAAACTCAACAGATCTTGGAAGTACTTGAATACAACAATTATTGTCGTGATAAAATGTTATTGTCGTGATAAAATGTTAATGGATTTGGGACTGCTAATGGGTTTTTTATTGCATCATCACCCTAGTAATAAATTATGAAGATTGTAAACAAACATCTGATAAGACTTGTATGTGCTTCGAACCAACTGTCCCAACTGTCGAACCAACTGTCCCAACTGTCGTTGACTATGATAGTAAACTGAAAGTAATTTATTATTATAATAGGCTGTACACCGAATTTGTACCGTGTAAAATGCTGTACCAAACCGAACCGATGACGTTAATTAAGCTTGTACCGTACCGACTTTTTCGGTGCACCGCAGACCCCTAATTCATTATATGTTTTAACTCATCTATGGTTTAGTTCCTGGGAGTTTTGTGATCGCATGAAACTCTTTCCCAATTCTCACATAATATTTTCTGTCCATTATGCTGATAGTTATTTATGAGTAACCCTTTACTCATAGTTTCAGAGAGGATGTCCCCTGACCATTTAGCGAGATATGTGTTGTTAAGCTACTGTAATTTATTTTGTGTTTGTTTGGTTTTGTGTGTGTTAAACTAAACAAAATGATTTATCTCGGTATATATTTTCTTATTAATACAAATAAAGTGTTTGTCACATCCCGTTATAACTATTATCGTACTTGATAACAAAGCCGAAATAGTGTATTCGGTTTTGTAGGATTAACTTGTTTTCATTTAAAATTATTACATCGTTTACAAGTAAAATAAATTAAACATTCGACTAAGATTTGTGTAACAATTGTTTTCAAGTATTTATAATGCTCAAGCAGTTTAGTAAACACTTCTACACTATCTAAAATTATAAACACTCAAACTATATTTTCATAACTTAATTACAATTCCTCCAATTTACTTTTATAATATATCCTGTTTTGTATCCATAAAATATAATTCATAAAAGCCTTTAACACATTGTTGTTGATTTATATTGATATTTTCAAACTGGGAAACTTCCTTATATTATATAATCTACAACATAAGTTGAGTTGAGTGGCACAAGAGCAGTGAGCACAGGTTGACAAGTGCATGGTAGTTATGGGCTGTAGCTGTAGTGTTGAGTTAACGCAAGCTACGCTGATGCACGCTGCACGCTAACACATTTGTGTATCAGGTGACGTGTTGACGGGCGAATATGCTCTCTTTGGCCAGCCTACGCACACGCAACACGTCTATCTGCCTTTTTACCAAGGCGATTCCCTTCTCACACGTAAGCATGCATCCTGCCTCTTTCTATCTTTCTTGATTGCCTTTTGCCCATTAGTTGCATCTTGTTTTGATTAGGCTGATTAAACAAAATTTTGTTTGTTTACATGTTTTTAACTTAGGCCACTTTTTTGGTTTTTGATTAATTTTAATTATATACTGAAACCCACAAAGTAGTTAGTTTTTATTTACAGTAGATCCCCTCATATGCGACTTTGACGAGACCGGGACATGGTCGGAACGGCCAAAAGGTTGGATATCGAGAGAAGTATATCTTGCGGTCTAGACTACACCGGTAACTGTCTCCCTCAACCGTGGCAATACCCGTGAGCATGTCTTGCAGTCCCAGTGACACAGGTAATCATCTCAAGCAACCGTGGCAACGCTTGTGAACGCATCTTGTGGTCTTGACGACAGTGGTGGTTGTGTGCTGCAATTACAACAAGACTTGTGACCAGCCTTTCGGTTAACCAAACACACTAGCCGTTATCACCCTAGACGGAAACAAGTAGAATGCTGGACAATAGGTTGGATATCCCGAGGGGTATGCCGAGGTCAGATATGAGAGGTTCAACTGTATTTTGCTTTTCACAGAATTGCTTTTTATACAAATCATGTTATGATTCGTGTTCATGTTAACACAAACACGAATCATAACATGATTTGTGTTAAAAAACAGAGAATTTACATTGATTTTCTGAACTCGTACTTTTTTGCACTAGGATCGGCACATTACTATCTACTTATATATACATACATATATATATATATATGAATTTGAATGGATGGTGTTTTTGGCCTCTAGGGACCTCCAAATTAAAAATTAAATCGGTCCCGGGTCCAGGTCTTACCATGAGTCCTACGGTAATAGCTTATTCCCTAATTCGCTCATATTCATTCCCTAATTCGCTAAAATATTCCCCATATGGGAAATTTGCTAAAAAAGTAATATAGATAGAGCTTCAAAACTTGGTACACAGTTACTGGGCATTAAAACATTTTTACACATTATTCAGTGATGCGCCAATGCCGCAACCCCTAGGTCAAGCCTGAAGTAATGTGAAAAACAATCCCAGGCTCAAGCCTAGCATCCCAGGAAAAAAAAAATTGTAGGAAGCAATGCAGAAAATTTGAACTAAAAAAAAAAACAACTGAGTAAAAAATGGCAGCCCTTCAAAGATTTCTTGAGTTCAAATTTGCGACATTGTATTTTACTAGTAAAGACCTTTAATTTGATGTACATATTAACCTATGCTTACATTTAAGATTTTCTTCTGACTCCTAGCAGACCGTCCCCCTGAGGAGTTAGTGTATCGTTGAATAATGAGTTAAAATTATTTTAATGCGCTGTAATTGTGTACCAAGGTTTGAAGCTCTATCTTTATTACTTTTTAAAATCCAACAAAAAACCACTAAGTGGTAACACTTTCCCCGCCAAGTCAGCAATCAATTTCTAACAAACCTAATCTGTTTGATTACATTTTTACTTCTCTAATAAGGGCTCAATTTACACTAGTCTTTAGATATACGGGTTTAATTACCAGAACACTTATGTAACACCAACACATTTTATGTTGTTCAAGATGACCATTGATGAAATATGAAACTGAGTTTAAGCCCAGGGGGTGTGTTAAATAGTAATTTTGGTACGTGTGTCAAAAAGTTTTTAATCGGTTTAAAGCAGATAAGACCAACAATGTAGAATTTAATTCTACACAAACAATATTATTGAAATAAAATGAGATGTAGTTGTGCCGTGGTCTATATATCAGAGAAAAGAGGATTTATATTTTAACTGTTAATTTTCTACAAAAAAAAATAAATCTAACAAAAACCACTAAGTGGTAACACTTTCCCCGCCAAGTCACCAATCCAAAAAAGATAATAAATCATTACTTTTTCCGCCAAGAAAAACAATGTAATGTATGTCAGTTTGGCAACTTGGCGGCAGACTTTTGCTCGGTCACTTTAAAAAATACCATAAAACTAGTTTCATTGAGCAAGTATCCCTCCCATTTGTACATTGCTAGGTGAGAGCTTATTTTACAAAATTTGACCTTATTTGTGCCACATTTCATAAAATCATAATAGTGATGGTTTTATATTTACTAATTACCTAGAAATTATTATACTTAGTTAGTTGGACTAATTAATTAGAGAAGTTGATTTGTGAAATTATCCACGAACGTAACTTTAATGAAAAAACCAAGCAAAAGTCTGCCGCCAAGTTGCCAAACTTACATACATTACATTGTTTTTCTTTGCGGAAAAAGTAATGATTTATTATCTTTTTTTGATTGCTGACTTGGCGGGGAAAGTGTTACCACTTAGTGGTTTTTTGTTGGATTTTAAAAAGTAATATAGATAGAGCTTCAAAACTTGGTACACAGTACTGGGCATTAAAACATTTTTACACATTATTCAGTGATGCGCCAATGCCGCAACCCCTAGGTCAAGCCTGAAGTAATGTGAAAAACAATCCCAGGCTCAAGCCTAGCATCCCAGGAAAAAAAAATTGTAGGAAGCAATGCAGAAAATTTGAACTAAAAAAAAAACAACTGAGTAAAAAATGGCAGCCGTTCAAAGATTTCTTGAGTTCAAATTTGCGACATTGTATTTTACTAGTAAAGACCTTTAATTTGATGTACTTATTAACCTATGCTTACATTTAAGATTTTCTTCTGACTCCTAGCAGACCGTCCCCCTGAGGAGTTAGTGTATCGTTGAATAATGAGTTAAAATTATTTTAATGCGCTGTAATTGTGTACCAAGGTTTGAAGCTCTATCTTTATTACTTTTTTAAATCCAACAAAAAACCACTAAGTGGTAACACTTTCCCCGCCAAGTCAGCAATCAAAAAAAGATAATAAATCATTACTTTTTCCGCCAAGAAAAACAATGTAATGTATGTAAGTTTGGCAACTTGGCGGCAGACTTTTGCTTGGTTTTTTCATTAAAGTTACGTTCGTGGATAATTTCACAAATCAACTTCTCTAATTAATTAGTCCAACTAACTAAGTCAGGGTGTCTACCAACCGGGAAATCCGGGAAAACCGGGAATTGTACTTAATTTTTTACTGGCCATGAAATGTACGGGAATTGTCCTTAAATGCCAGACTATGTCCTTAAATTTTTAATGGGTCATAATTTTATCGACCGCTAGTTGGTTAGGAGCACATAAAAGGTTTATCAGATGTTTCTTTACGTTTTCATAATTTATTACTAGAGTAATTATGCAATAAAAACCCCATTAGCAGTCTCAAACCCATTAATATTTTATCACGACAATCAAGTGTCAAGTCAAGTACTTCCAAGAATTGTTGACTCAGTAGTAGTTTAGCTCATAAAAGTTGTATCACTTTTATTCCTTTACAACGCATTTATTTATTACTAGGGTAATCATTATTAGATCCCAAACATATTTTATCATGGAAATAATAGTTTTATAATGGCTGTTAAATTTCACATCTTACTTGTACTTCAATTTGCCCCTGGCCATTGCCTAGTGCCATAAAACTGTTTATGGTTTTATATAAAACATGTAACTAATCTACAGTCTTATTTTGTAAGTTAAACCCTTTTTTATGGATATTTTATCTTTCAATTGACAAAACCAAAAACATTGTTGTTTGCATTAAATTTTTATCACTACGTAGGCCTACTTGGTTTCAAATTATGTCATTGCATTTTCTGTTTCTTTGTACATTGTTGGCGGTCAGGTTTCAATTTTTTTTATTTCCCATATTTATTTATTGCGTTGTATGCTTTAAGCAATCTAAATCTTATGAACTAGAATGATGATATTGTAGTGACTTTGCTGATATTGTAACCTCATTGTTTGTTACTCAGTTTATATAGGCCCTCCTAAATAATTAGGCCTAGGCCTGGGTATTTTGATTCTTTGAAAGTGCTGTAAAATATACTGCAGAAAATGTAATTGAGCCTAAGATAAACTAATGATTGCTATGTGTCGATATTAACTTTGCAGATGAAAAGACAATAATCTTACTCTGTGCTTACTGGTAGCCGCTTACCATACCGATTTTGTACCTAGAACCGAGTTACAATATATTCATTATGCATTAAAGATTTTTTTTTCAAAAGTAGTCGAGAACCTAACGTTGTGCCAGGGCGAATAATGCCAAATTAATCCGCCTGGATCGGATAAGCTATGTTATGATGTTTCCGTGACCGATGGAGATATTTAGGATTTTGTCGCTATTGCAGGAGACAATGATTGCGTTTTTCTGTTACACTATAAAAGCTGTACCTAAAGTATATGTTTGTTTACTTTCAATAAGTTTCTATTTTGAAATTTAATTCTTGTCTATTATTATTTACTTTTCTCTCTGGAACAACTACAATGAAGAACAAGATTAATACAGTTTGAGAAATCAGGAATATTATTCTGTAATCACACCGACAAAGGTCCTTAAATGTACGGGAATGATTGCGTTTTTCTGTTACACTATAAAAGCTGTACCTAAAGTATATGTTTGTTTACTTTCAATAAGTTTCTATTTTGAAATTTAATTCTTGTCTATTATTATTTACTTTTCTCTCTGGAACAACTACAATGAAGAACAAGATTAATACAGTTTGAGAAATCAGGAATATTATTCTGTAATCACACCGACAAAGGTCCTTAAATGTACGGGAATTGTCCATGAATTTTATATCCAGAATGTTGTAGACACCCTGTAAGTATAATAATTTTGAGGTAATTAGTAAATATAAAACCATCACTATTATGATTTTATGAAATGTGGCACAAATAAGGTAAAATTTTGTAAAATAAGCTCTCACCTAGCAATGTACTAATGGGAGAGATACTTGCTCAATGAAACTAGTTTTATGGTATTTTTTAAAGTGACCGAGCAAAAGTCTGCCGCCAAGTTGCCAAACTGACATACATTACATTGTTTTTTCTTGGCGGAAAAAGTAATGATTTATTATCTTTTTTGGATTGGTGACTTGGCGGGGAAAGTGTTACCACTTAGTGGT